GAGGGCATGACGTTCACCTGAGGGTGGGAGAGTCACAGAATCTTGATGCCAGGACTGCCAGGCCCCAAGTACTGCCATCCACATAACCCACAGCATGTCATGGCTGCACAGGGCCCCACCCCACAGCACTTAATAGGCAGGGAAGCAGCTGGGTTTAGGGTCAAGGAACACAGGGCAGCAAGACAACAAGCACAGGGGACTGGCAAGCAGAAATCAAACTAGGATCCCCAAGTATAGAAAGATAGCATCCCCCTGCCACCATGAGGCGCACACTGGCTAGTCCTGGCCCTGCTCCCTGGCATCCCTGTCTAGCCAGACAACTAAAAGAATCAAAATCTAGCAGCAGGCAACAGCCTGGATGTCACAATGCCAAGTTCATGAGCCACCTCATCCTATCAGAAGCAGCCCCAGGGACCACCAAAGCAGACAGGGGTCAGAGGGCACAGCTAGTCAGTGTATCCTTGTCATTCCTCACCAGCAAGGTGGCACAGACCAACAGCCAGCACCAGAAGCACCCCACATACTCCTCTGTGCAACAGTACTGCACTGAGGCAAGCACTGGTTGCCTGGCCAGAGCATGTGGCCTTGCCACTGAGACCTGGACCTTCAGGCACCCAAGCTGATCCCAGGATGCAGAGGAACCCCTGTGGAGGGGTCATGTGTCCAATGGCTTGGGGTCCCTGAGGTCCCAATTTCATGCTGCTGCCCACAGCCTGCTGCCATCTCCAGACATATCTTGAGGAACTTGGCACTGCCCAACAGCAGGGGAAGCTCTCAGCAAGGCTTGTGCCTGCCCTGCCTCTGGTGGACAGTCACTGCTCTGGGGAAGCCCCAGCTCCAACAGCACCAGAAGCACAGGAGCAGCAGCCTGACAGGTCTCTGCTGGACGTTTGGTGGGTTCAAGTAAGAGCCATGGGGCAGAGACGAACACAACAGAAATGGGCACAAGACATTAAGCAGGGGCAAGTTGTGCTGGGCTTCCCCGGGGAGGAGGAGCAGGGCAGAGGGGCAAGCTGGGCCATCCCATTCTGTAACTGTCCAGCATGAGCTCTGAACTCTGTAGGTCCTGGCCATGCAGGAGTCAGGACACCAGAGCCCTACTCTGATCCCAGACAACAAGTCCTCCTGGCAACGTGCCCCAGCAGTCTGGGTCTCACAGGGCCTCCTCTTGGGCTGACACAGACCCTGGCACTTGTCTGCCACCCAGCACCAATTCAGCTGTGCCAGCCAGGGGCTCCTCCCAGCCCTGTTGTGGGCTGGGCTCCAAACTCTACACCCAACTAAAGAGGCAGCCAATACAAAGCCCTCAGCCTGCTGCCTGCCACAAGACAGCTCCTCAGCCATGAACCCCATGCACTAGCTTCCTGCAAAGTGCCAGAGCCCTCAGCCCAGAGAAGTCTCCACCCAGCTCACCGTATTCAGCTCAGTGTTGATGCTGGCAGGACTCTCTCCTGCCATGACCACAACTCGGGCCGGCATGTAGCTGGAATCCTCACTGGCCACCAGCATGCTCATCTGCCTGCAACAGAGACAGCCACAGGGTAAGAACCAGACTGCTCCCAAAGATTCAGCTGCCTGCCCTGGCTGGTCCCAGCTAAAATTCATCCAAGTCCCCAAGGACCTGATATGACATTGCACAGGTCAGGGTCTGGAGGAGGACACAGTGTCCCCTTGCAGCTGGTTACTGCACAACAAATCCATCCCATACTGTCCTTCCCCTGAGCCAGAGGCCAAGGAATCAGCACTCACAACCACCCTCCACCCTGAGCACACCCACACCCAGCCCCAGCCCCTTCCCAGACCCCTCTGCACATAACCCCCAAATCTCAAACTCACCTCAGGGAACCCACAGATCAACCTGCTCCCCAAAGGCCTTGGCCAGCCCTCCTGCCTCACCCCTCATCCCACACACACGCCACAAGCCGCAGGACCTGGGGCCACACCTGACTACCACACCACGATGCATGTACACAGTGATGTAGTGCGATCCAGTACTGCCGTTAGATTCCCAGTAGGTCTTGGGGTTCTTGTCTGTCAGCTTGCTGGCTCGGTGGGGATTGGAGGAAACCTCTAGTTTCTCCCAACACTTGTCCTCTTTCACCTCCACACTGGAGCCTGAAAGGGAAGGGGCAGCACTGTAGGGAGCTGTCTGGGCCCAGTGGGCAGGCAAGTGGAGGGGCTTCAGGGTGCCTGGGCTCAGCACTCACCTTGGCACAGGTTACGCAGGAAGACGTCAAAGAAGGGGATATTAATGGGCTGGTGACTCCGCCTGTGTTCCTCAATCTGACCCAGCACCATCTGCACAAGGGACACAAGGGCCTAGTGGGGGAAGCCCAGTGGCTGGGCCCCTGCAACAGCCCCAGAGACCAGGTGTGCACAGCCAGCCAGCC